ATGTGGGTTAACAAAAAATGTATTCTCACAGCACAGAACCCCGGGAATGAAGGACAAGCCCTTGATGTGGGGGCTCAAGGGCCTCAGGAGCAGAGCACCTGGGAATCAGAGGGAGTCCTGGAGCTGAGCACCCACTTTGGAGCTGGGAGAAAGCAGTAACATGTCCCCTTTGTCAGCCAGCTCTTCCAGAGCCAGGGATCCTCAAGGGCTCGCTTCAAAGGCTGACCTGCAGGAATGCTGCAGGAGCTCATTGCAGACAGCTGGAGTTTGGAGACTGTCACTTCTGACACTTATAAGTTTTCATTTATATCTTGTCCCTGATGCTATTTATTTAGTCTTACCAACTTGATTAATAATGCTGCTCTTATTTATTCTCATTCGCCCAGAGAAACCTTTATTTTTCCAGAGCCTTAGAGTGTACTGTATCTGCCACAGCACAGCACTGCTCCAAATTACTGCCAACACAGCAACAGCAGCACTGCCTGCACTCCATCTCCACCCAAAGTCTATCAGTCTGCCATGGTTTTTACTGCCACTTGCTCTTTACTTGATGCTTTCCAAGTTTTCTGCTTTGTCCTTTCCACCTCTGCAGCCTGTATGTGTTGGAGGGAAGATGGGCTGAGTCCTTGGCCTGTAGCCTTTCCCCAGAGTCCTTCACAGAGTTCTCTGCAAACATCTCAGATTATTTTATCTTGCAGGGTTGTCACAGACTTCTGTCTCTGTCAGAGACTGGAGTTAATCCAGGATCAGGAGAGGCATGGAAGGGTGTGGGAGGGAAGTGTCAGGGATCTGGTTTTGCTACGGTTCATCAGGGGCCCAAGGGTAGGAGCTGTCCCAGAAAAGCAGGACCATGGCCTGTGATGAGGAGACATCTGGGTGTGTAATACCCGTGTGAGTCAAGGGATTACACCTGGGAAGAACAGAGCCTCCAGACTCCAACCTCAGAGGGAGGAAGCTCTCCTGAGCAGACAAGGGATGTGTGTCAGAGAGGTAACTCAGTCTCAAAGTGGTTGTGGGCTGGAGCATGAATGTGTCAACAGGGCAGATGAAAGATTTCAGCAAATGTGGACAGAGCAACATAATTTAATCAGTAGGGAGAAATGAGGAACATAAAAAGGTAGTGGAAAAGTAAACAGTGGAGACACTTTTTTTGTTAATTTACTTTTTTGGCTACATTTCTCAGTGTGAGGAAGCAGGGAGCCCAGATTCAGTGTGTTGGTCCCAGTCCAGGGCAGTCCAGAGCACTGGCACAGCACAGAGCTGGCACCAGCCCCGAGTGACAGAGCTGCTGTGTGGCTTGGCCCTGCATGTAAGGAAGGGGTGGCCTCCCTCCTCTCCTGGCTCAGGAAGCTTGTCTGTCCCTCAGGGGAAGTGGAGGAAGGGAAGGGATATTCTCACCTTCTCCTTCAATGGAACTGCCAAAGTGACCGTGGAGCTGCATGTGAATAGTCAGGTGGGATCAGGGAGCCAAATCAGCAAGTGGTTGTCTATGCTAGAGGCTGAATCCTGGATTTGGGAGATACTTGGCGTGTGAGGCTCCCTTAGGTCTATGAGAAGTTCTAGGAGTGGAGGCAGCAGCGGGGAGGAATATGACTGTTGGCTATTTTTAGAAAGAACAGAGAGTTATCAAGGGTATTTGTGGGCTATTTCCATTGTGAGTAAAAGGTGTAACTGAATATGACTTTGGAACTTTGAGAGAGTTGGTGACTTGCAGTGTCCAACAAGCCACAGTCCTTGAAACAAACACAGCCAGCACAGACATCCCAGCCAGGGCAGTGTCCATCCCCTGCCCAACAGCTTGTCCTTCTCAGAGTGTGCTACTTGTGCTGTGATAAGATACAGATATAGCCTAAGCATGGGGTTATTTGTTGGTTGGCCAACCCAGAAATTGCTACCAGACATCCTCCCTATTTAAAGGACAGAAAAGGCTCTTGTTAAGTCACAGTGATTTGCTTTTTGATGTAGACTTAAACCATGTTCATAAGCAGTCTCCAAAATTCAGCTGAGTCACAGATGCGTCTGAAATTCTGGTGCCTCAGCTTTTAGCCTGAACTTGTGTCTCCCTAGCCAGCAACACAACAAGGAACAGGTTCTGTGTGCTATCCTGAGAAAATTATTTGGGAAACAAAATAGCCCAGAGGAACATAAATCAACATTGAGTGGGAAAGAAGCAATGACATATTTTGCCTGTAACACGATAAAGGATCTCTTCAAGAGAAATTTGTCATTAAGAAATGTCTCAATATACTTGTATAATCTTGTATTACTACAAAAAGATCAAACACTGAAGGTTTTTTTTTTTTTAATCTAGTGAATTTAAGGCATAGAGAGAACAAAAACATTGGCAAATTCCAAATAAATTTTTACAAGATGACAACTATGGAAATAAAGAAGTGTTTTCCAGTAGAAAAATAGCTAGAATATTATGCAGCATTCCTGTAAAACTGCACAGACCAAATGAAAAAGCCCACTCTCCAAACCAGCTCTCTGGAACTGGCCTAGAGCATGAAAAGTGAAAATATTTTGAAAATCTAACTTTGACTATTCTGTTACTTAACTTTGTGTGCTTTGCACACCTTAAAGAAAATAAACCATCTGACCTTACTTCTTAATTCTCATAAACAAGAACAGTTGGATGTTGTGTGGGTTGCACATTTTGAAAGGAAAAACTGGAGCAGACTTGCTTTCCCAGGGTAGGCCTTCATTTTTTTCCTTTACTTCTCAGCAGTAATATCCCTTTAAAAGGTTCTGAACTGTGTTTTAGAGATTTAGGCTGGGGGGTCCTTTACACCCATCACCTCTGAATTTTACCTTGCAAACTGTGAGATTTCACTGAAGTGAAAGGTGTGTATCCATTCTAAATATGAATCTTTCCAGCTAGGGCAGAGACACAGGCAATTTGTACAAGCAGGAGTTTGGTGACAGCTCTGGGAGTCCCGCAGAGGGGTGTCGAGGAGGGATGGCAGCAGGAGGCTCGGAGGGAATGTTTCATGGGGATGAGATGTTCCACAAGGAAAGATTTCCTGAGGCTGAATTTGAAGAGCTGTGTGCAGAATCCTGAAGTGCAGCGCCAAGGTGCCGACAGGGCAGTGGTGTGAGTCGTGCAGAGCTGGGTGCTGCCATGGGACACCCCCACCATGGCTTCCCCTGTGCTCTGCTCTGCTCTGCCCCAGCCGGCTCCCAGGAAAGCTTGGGAAGAGATTGCAGTGTCCAGAGCTGGAGCCTGAAGCCTCCCCTAGCGTGGGAATAGCACACACAAGAGGATGCAGGGGCTGATTTACGTCACAGCATTGCATGTAAAACAACATGTTACAAAAGGGCATTTTATAGAAAGGAAAAAAATACTTGCTGAAGAGCAGAAGAATGTTTGTCTTCCTGCTTTTAGCTTAACATGGCTCTTTTTTTAGTTGCTCAGCTAAGATGACTGAATTTGTAGTAGGTGAAAATGCCAGGGAGTCATTGAAGTGATCTTGAGAAAGCCTGTACCATGTTCCACAGCTCTTCCAAAACACACCACTGTGCTTGTTATGGCAGATGCTTGAGACCAAAGTATGAGGCAATGGCAGCACCATTGTCTGTTATATATAAAAATATAAATTAAAGAAATGCATCATTTTACAAGACCCTTGTGTCAGACAACATATATTATAAATCCATGCTGGGATTGTCAGATATTAAAGGAAGTAACAATTAAAACTAAGCCAGCAGATTATTTGCAGTAAAACACAAGGATTTGTTCTTTCCCAGCTTTTTCTCTCTTTCTCTCTCACCCCAATTCTCACTTTTCTCATTCAGCAAACTTTGAAGGTAAATCACTGACAGAAACAAACAGGTGAAACCTTTTCTCTGGCCTTAGAACAATCCACAGCTGAAGTAAAAATGCTCATGAAGGTTATTCTGGTAGAGGTCTGATGCCACCTAAAGTCTCCACCAAGTCTTGCAGTAAAAGAAATTAGCATCTAACAGCTCTGCAGTTATTGTTTATAGTTCTTTGTGGCTACATTAGGCACAGCAGAAGTTTGCAGTGTGAGAAAATTAATTCAGTCATGTTGGATGCAAATTTCTGTCATCTTAGCCTGCGAGAGGCAGATGTAGCTGTGATATGGAGAGCTTGTCATTATTCCCCTGATGTTAAAATTCGCTTGGTAATGATATTCCTTAATTTTTAACATTTGGAAACCATGTGACTGCAAAAGGGAATCAGATTCAGTAGATGGAAGGAAAACATATGCATGACATATTCCATGATAATATCAAGCCTTAAAGTTTAGGAGATACCAACCTGTATTTTAGCATACTCTGCTGAGTAGGATCAATACCTTTATCACTGAAGTTGGTTAATAAGCCCATTAAAATGTGTTATAATAAAAATATACTGTTGTCAAAAAAACCTGAAATCTTTGAAAAACATGTTACTTTTATCAGCTTTCCTTTGGAATAAGTATTGATTGTTGCGGGCCTTTTATATCTGGTATATTTGGTATGTTTTATATTTGGTAGAGTTTTTCTTGAGGATTTTTTTTCCCAATTTTATTTTACTTTTCACTTTCCTTTGTTCCTGTGCTAGTGCTTGACTTAAGAACATTACTACTATGTACTTGACTTAAGAACATTATGAATTTTTACTACTGATGCGGCCATAACAGCTAAGATCTGAAGTTGCTTTTGGGTTTTAAGCATTGTTCAAAGTGGCTGCTTTTGGGTGCTTTTGGGGACATTGAATTTGACTTCTAGATCAAACCATCTCCTGACTGCTATGCAACAAATGGATTCTGGTTTGAAACCAATAGATTCTAGTTTAGTACCTTTAGTTTGAAGTCTGCTGTGAACTACCACACTGCACAATAGAGAGGGTAGGGACTGGAAGGGGACCAAGGCCTGTCAGAAGAGAGGCAGCACCTTGGACACTTATATTTCAACAGGCTGAGTTTCTCAGCAGGTGGAAGGTGTTGTGAACCAAGAAAAGCCTTTGCTAATCTGGTTGTTCATCTCTCCCCCAGCACCCTGTCGAGCTGCTCCCATGCTGTAGTGGCCCTGCTGTATCCCTTCTCCTGGCAGCACACCTTCATTCCTGTCCTGCCCTCATCCATGATTGACATCGTGTGCTGCCCTACCCCTTTCCTGGTGGGACTGCTCTCCAGCTCTCTGCCCAAACTCAAGGACCTGCCTGTAGAGGAGGTAGGAGCTGGCAACACAATTGTTTGCCTGGAGTAAAACTGGCTTCTCCTAAGAGAGGGCTGCCACTGGGACATAAATCCTCACGTTTAATTTTTAATCTGCCTCTTTGTTTCTTCTCTGCCTGGTTCTCATGGGCAACTGCCTCTTGGCAAAACTGTGGCTGTAGCTTTATTCTTCTCTTTTATTCTGCCCCTCTTCCATACCTGGCACCTTGTCAGAGACAAGTGAGTATTTACATGGTCACCAGTAAGTAGGGTGCAAATATGCTGATTTGTTCTGGAACAAAAGGAAGCCATCTGCTATGACATCTCTTAATCCTTATGGAAGTGGTGCATGAAGCCATAGCCCTCAGTGGAAACAAAACCTTAAACAATTTTAACTTTTAAGACTTTGTTGTTACTGTATTGGAAATCAAATGAGAGTTTCACTTCATCAGCTCTTTCAGTAAAATAGCACAAAAATACTTAAGGAGTCTTTTCTCTCTTGCTCCTATCAGTTTCCTGTCGTTTTTCTAAGGAATTTTCTTGTGCTCTCTTCCCAAGCCCTGTGTGCCTCTGGCCCACGTAAATCTCTGCTCTGTTTTCCTTCCGCTTTCCTAACGTTGCTCTTCCACATCTTTCTAGCTGCATCCTTCAGCTTTGCTGCTTTGTTATGAATATTTCACATCCTTGCCCTCTGGAATCCCTGCTGCCTCCACACTGTTTTCTTTAAACCCCTCTGAAACACTTTTCAACTGCATGTTCACAAAAATTATTAATTATAATTTGTGTAGATTTAAGAAAAAAAACCCTTTAGCTCTTTTTAATATGTTAACCTAGTACAAGACCTGTTTCATCTATGTTAAATTAGACTTGTATCTCCAAAGAAAACTTTCATGTTGTTTCATAAAGGACACAACCTCTTGTTTTACAGTAGGAATTTGACTCATGTCGAGGCTTGTTCTGCAGATGATCTTTTGCTATTAAAAAACAATGAACAAATTAATGTTTTCTTGTATCTTCAGATACATTTCACTGCAGTGTTTTCTTTTCTGTAGGCTTTGATGGTTAACCTGGGATCTGATCGATTCATCAGACAGGTAAAGTACAGCTCAGATTACTGCCATGCAGTCTAGCACACTGTTTACTCCTCTAGTATGATTTGGTTTCTTTAATCAGAGGGATTTGGCAGGAATTGGGTGTGCAGAGGGAAAGCAATGAGGGGAAAAAAAAAAAGTTCTCATTTTCTGTTCCACCTGCAAATAAGAACTTCTCAGACATGCAGAAGGGATTGAGGCTGTGACTGTCAGAAGGAATCAAGAACTGTATTCACAGTGGAAAGAAAACATCCAAAGATAGTGACATCACCTTAGCAAGAAAACTCACTGTTGGAGGTGAAAAGGACAAAAATAACAAAGAAAATTCCCAACTACGAGCACAAAGGTGGAGAATAGTTTAATGTTATGAGAAAAGCAGGAGCCTTGTAAACAAGGAGGTGAGGGATCACCATCTCCTGACAGTCATGTGGCACTAAATAATTTCAAGCCAACAATCTGCAGGTTGGATGAGGAAACTTGTGTTTAATTCCCTGGCTGGTGAACAGTGGCTGCAGAGCCAAGGCTCCTGTGCCTACTTGGCTTCTGCTGAACAAGCATAAAATAGGATGAAGAGAGCAACAGGGGCAAGACCCAGATAACAAGATAGACTACAAAACAGTAAAAAACACTGCCAAGGACCAAAGGAGCTGCCTAAAGCCAACTACAGCAGCTGTGTGTACACCTAGCAAGGCTTCACATGATGTATATTTAGTTAAACATAACTATTTGGACTCTGTCATGTAAAGAACTGATTCCACATTTCTGTGTTTACCTGCTCTTTGGATTATCATTCCTGACTTTAATCTTATTAAGAGTGACAAGAAGTTTTGTTTAGAAGTATTTGTTAGTTGCACATAGATTCTCATTCTTTTATTTAGGTAGCCATGACAATAGCAGATACAAATATTTTTCATCTGATTTCTAAACATTCTGAAAGTATTTGCTGTAGTTCCTGCATAGATTATTGTGGTTTAAAGACTTTTTTCCCCCTCCTATCAGATGGATGATGAAGACACACTATTACCTAGAAAATTGCAAGCTGCTCTGGAGCAGGCTCTGGAGAGAAAGAATGAACTGATAAATCAGGATTCAGATAGTGATTCAGATGATGGTAAGTTCATTCGGAAACAGGGACTTGTGTAATAAACAAACATAGGTAGAATTGTGACTTTCCATGCAGGAGAAACAAAGATGGGACCTGAGCTCTCAAATATCTTTGGTGACATCGAAGATTGTCTCTGAGCACTCAGGGAATGAGACTGACGGCATCAACCCACAGTGATACCTCACCCATGATTTATTTTAATTTCTTTGTAAATGACATGGACTCCTGTGGGTCCCTCTGAACCTTTGCTCAAACAGAAGTTTGCAGTTAAATTGGCCCTAACTCAATCCAGATAATTCTCCAGGCTTAGGGGTGTGTCTGAGTTTGGAGTTGCTCTTGGCACTTGGTATTTTCAGGGGAGAGAAGCAGGTACAACCAGAAAAGAATTTTAGTCCAAGACAGGTTGGGTTGTATCTGAAGGTTCATATTTCTCTTCAGCAGTGATAAAAAGAGCCCAGGGTGAATTGAGATTCCTGTGGTTAAAAGGTATGAAACAGGCCCCTATTCAGTTTTTTAAATTTATTTATAGTCATATATATTACATATATAAGACTATTTTAAAATCTCAGAAATTGTGAAAACCCAAATTTTACAACAGACCCTTTTTGATCAGGTTTTGGTACAGGCTTATTATCCTCAGGGAGAAATATTTTAATGCTGAGTTATTCAGAAGTTTGTGGAAAGAGTTTGCTGAAGAGCGAAAATAGGAGGTTTGATTTTGATGAAACATCGATCAAATGTTTAATTTTCTGAGCTGTTTCCTGAGGATTTGTAATTCTCGCTGACTGTGAGTCAAGGAACACCACTTCTGCAGACTGGCACCCGTGGTTATGGCGCTGTCACCCTCTCCATGTGCATCCAGGTGTGCAGGGAGCCGCTGCAACTCCTGCCAGTTGTTAGCACGGCATCAGGGAGCCGGGAGATGTACAGCCTGGCCCTGTGGGGGTAATGCTGACAGCTCTGGTAGCAGCTGATTTTGGTGTCTTATTGCCGCCTTATTTTGCAGAATGTAACACCCTGAATGGATTAGTGTCTGAGGTTTTTATCCGATTCTTTGTGGAGACAGTTGGCCATTATTCCCTGTTCCTAACCCAGAATGAAAAAGGAGAGCGTGCCTTCCAAAGGGAGGCTTTCCGTAAATCTGTGGCCTCCAAGAGTATCCGCCGCTTCTTGGAAGTTTTCATGGAATCCCAAATGTTCGCTGGCTTCATCCAGGACAGAGAGCTGAGGAAATGCAGGGCTAAAGGTAAGGGTGGGTGTCTCCCCTGCCGCGCGGGTTTCTGTAGCGCTCGGGTCCCGCGGATCGCGGCAATGTCCATCCCCCTGCGCTCACCGGGAAAGCGGAAACGCGTCCCGAAAATGCTGCCCGGTTAACCGGAAGGTCGCCGTGAGCCGAGGCTGCCGGGGCCGGGAGTCGGGGCCGTGCGCGGGCACCGCGGGATGCGGGATCAGCGGGATCAGCGGGATCAGCCGGACACGGCTCACCCCGGTCCCCGTCTCTGTCCGCCACAGGGCTCTTCGAGCAGAGAGTGGAACAGTATTTGGAAGAGCTGCCGGACACGGAACAGAGTGGAGTAAACAAGTTCCTGCGAGGCCTCGGTGAGGAAAATCTTTAGAAGTATTTCTGAAATATGTTTTCATTTCAGGTGGTGGTGGGTTTTGGTTGTGTTTTGTTTGTTTTTTTTTTAATTTGAAAAATCCGTATCTGAGGTGGGATGAGGTAGTCAAGCGGTTTCAGAGTGATGGGAGTTACACAAAAAAAAACAATGAAAACATAGTTAAAGGGGATAAAACCAAATTAAATTATAGTCCTTGTTAACACTTTCATTTTCACTTGGGGGTGGGGGAAGCAAGCCATAATCGAGGAGCAGAACAGGAAGGTGTCGGAGCAGGCGGTGCTCTGTAACTCAGCTCTCCCTGCTGGTGCTGAGTGGAAGAGTTACCCCACAGCAATTACAAGTTAGACCCATTTGCTGTCACTTTTGATTGACTTCTGATATCTGCTAGAGACTGACGGTGTGCTTCCTTTAGGTAACAAAATGAAGTTCCTTCACAAGAAGAACTAGCTCCTTCCTGCTGGAACACCAGCCCCAAGCCTGTTTATGGCTCTGTGCGAGACACCTGCGGCGTTGGAGCGTGGAGGGGGAGGAGAGCAGAGCAAGCTGACAGCAGCTCCGGGCAATGACTGATGCTGTGTCAGTGATGGCTCCTCTGTGTACTTGGGTAGAGTTTGTACATAATGTGCTGTAAGCTTTTGTAACTGATTTTGTAATGAGCGAGAAAACTGTGGTAAATATTTGTATATTCCTGAGAATACCAGGTGCTTGTTTTTTTCTTTAGTATGAGTTGAGTTATGCTTGGTGCAGGAACGAGTAGCTGATGATGTGCAGCCGACTGTCTCGGCAGAACCACTGACTTCAAGGGATGTTTGATGCCTGAACACTGCGGGGTGAATGAGCTCGGGTACGTGGGAGAGGTTGTACGCACGGGGCCGCTCTCGTGAGGCACAGGCGCTTGTCTGTTTCCTTCGAATTAATTTGAAAGGAGAAATAACAAAGCGACTTGATAATAAGGTACTTGGTTCACATTACAAAACCTCCACTTGGTTTGAACTCTGGTCAGTAAACTCCTTGTAACCCATTCTGCACTAAGACTGCTAAGCCTGGGGGGATCTCAGCTCTCTGACATGCAAGCTGCAGCGAGTAGGTACAGTACAGCCTTTCCTAATGTATGTATGTATGGATCCTAATAAACTCTGTAAATAGACTTCTTTGTTTATATTCATTGCAGACCTCTGCACTTCCTCATGTGGAGCAGGTACAAACCCAGCACCTTGCCTGTGATTTTTTTAATGAATTTGTAATTAAAATGTAAAGTGGTTATTACGAACCTGTCTTTTGGTAGGTTTGCTGTTTCACAAGATGTAGTTTGGGGTTTCTTCAGTGTTTTTCACCAGGGCTAAGACAAGTCATTTTATACCCCTCTTTAAAAAATTTTATCCTAACAGAAGCATCTGTTAAAACATTTTTTCATGGGTTAGCAGTGAATTATTTTATTGTTGTATCACAGATACTGCTTCTGACCTCTGGTATTTTCAATTGGCTTAGTGCTGTGCGTGGTGCTCAATTCTTCCTTGATCTGGAAACAGAACTCCTGTTGAGGTTCTAGAAGTTTTCCCATAGTCTGAAGAAGAAAATATTAAAAAAAAAAAAAAAAAAAAAGCTTCAATATGTTGCAAGTCTGACAGAGAATGAAAATTAGCTAAAGTCTCTTACCTTTAAAGAAAACCCACCATGCTCTGGTTTTAGTCATTTGCAGTGTGCTGTAATTAGATGGGCCTTGAGGCTTGCGCAGTTCCTAACCTGACAGTGGTTCTGGTTTGCTATCAGCCTCATAGAGCAAATTCGAGGGGCTATTCACTAAAAAGGTGAAGTAATTTCCTTTTTCAATTACCTCCCTCACACTTGAGAATACACAAAAGTTTCTTAAGTGCATGTGAAATGTCTGTAAAATACCAGGTGCCTTTTGATTCAGAGGAAATGTTGCCACAACTGATAATTTCCATTACTTTTACTCCTTACTCCATAATACCCTCCAAGTTGCAGAATGATTCTTAGATGTAATCCTTGAGAGTGGAAGGAATAACGTCACTTGTACAGGTGTCTTTTGGCCTTTTTATAAACGACATCTGCTAGTAAATGTAGGGGGAAATACATAATTCCTCTTAAGAAAATGATGGATAAAACTTTTATCAGGACGTGCTGTGGACTTACTGCAAAGGCAAGACAAAGCCGCGGAATGCCGATGTACGAGAATGTGGTGCTGTAAAACCCATCTCCTGCACCAAAGCTGCTTTCCTCCACTTGCACTTTTAAAAATTAAAGGAGAAAGCTTTTAAACATTGTGTTATCTGTCAACATGTTCTTGCTTTTGTAATGTGAATCAGAGGATACTACAGGACAAGGTGAGATCATGGCCCAAAAAATCTGTGGGTGCCTTTTTGATCCTCAGACAACAGATGTGTAAAACAATCCTTGTATTCTCTGGAAGTCTGTGTTCTACAGGATCAGATGAACAAAAACCAAGGAGTGCGTTATTTTCCCTTCTAAATTTGTTGTTAAAACTAATGGTGTTACTGAGCAGGGAACAGTGTAAGTGCACCAGGAAAATAAATAAATAAATAAATAAATCCAGTGCTGAGGCCCGTGTTTAAAATTGGTGAAGTTTTGTTTAAAATCGTAACAGTATAAAATCAATTTTAAAACACCGGTAGAAACCAAGCTTAAGAAACAGTAACACTCCAGGAATTCACACGTCAGTGTGGCAAATAATTGTGTTTAAGGACGTAGTGTTCATTTTCCCACTGTTATGGCTGTTTAATAAAGTGACCAAACTTGCAAATTTTCCTAAATTCTGGTCAAAATGCTGCATTTCCGTGGCGGGAACACGCAGGGAGCTCTGTCCGGCTGCGGACTAGGCAGGCGCCGGCGCGCTCCCTCAGAGCTCCGCGCGCCGCTCCCGCCTCAGCGAAACCTCGCGAGACCTCAGCCCCGCCCCCGCGCCTTTGCCCGCTCTCGCGAGAGCCGCGCCCTTTCTCTCCCTCGCGCACGCCGGCAAGATGGTGGGAGCTGCGTCCTGGCCGGGATGGGATGGGACGGGACGGGACGGGACGGGACCAGACCGGGGCCCCGCGGCCGCCGCCCCTCGCACCCGCGGCGGGACGGGACTGCGGAGTAGCGGGGGGGTGGTGGGGAGGCGCGTCTCCGAGTCCGCGGCGGGCGGGAGCGGTGCGGGGAGGCCGGTCCGCCATGGCGCCCGGCTGTTTGGGCCCCGGGGCGGGCGCGGGGTTCTGGCTCTCGCTGCCCGCCTCGCTCACGGCTGCTCTCCCCCTTCCCCGCAGCCCTCCAGGCTAAGGAAGACCCGAAAGCTGAGAGGACACGTCAGCCATGGCCACGGCCGCGTGGGTGAGTGGAGAGGCGGCCGCGGGGGCTCTGGGCCTTCGCTGGCGCGGCCCCGCCGGGGCTTCCCCAGCGCTGAGGGGATGCTGCTGCTCCTCCCGGATCCCAGGAAAATGGGGCTGTGGCTGCAGGGGCTCGCCGGCACCGTGCGAAGTAGCGAGCAGTGGTGGAGGCCGCTGCGTGCGGAGGCATCTGCCACGGAAATGGGCTGATTAAGTCTTGCACGTTTTACACTCGCTGGATTTATAACTTCAGCGTTGCTTACTGCTCAGTACTGGCTATGCGACATTTTAAACTTACAGGGCAATGCAGTCTCCCTTTCAACTCTAGTAATTTCAGTTTTGTCACAACACAAGATAAAATAGTTTTTTAAGTTGACATTGAAAGTATCTGTAAGTATTATGTGTAATATTAATGTAACAAGCTTAAAACTTTTTTTCTCAGGCAAACACAGGAAGCATCCTGGAGGACGTGGTAATGCTGGTGGTTTGCACCATCACAGGATTAACTTTGATAAATAGTAAGCTAACGTTTTAAATATATACTATCAATATGCATGGTCCTGAGGTAGAAGCAACTGACTTTTATATGTGAATACACAAAGTTTCCTGCAATCCTACGTGTTTTTGTCCTTTAATGGGAAGTGGCATAACCGCTCATGTCTCCTCTTACCCTAAAATCAAAGGCCTTTTCACTTGGCATCTTGCAGTTCAGTGCAGCATTAGGTAAAGTTGATCAAATTTGCCTGTTGCAGTGTGGTCCCTGCTTAACAGTGCACACAGCAAATTCAGAATGTGATGTTAAATGCAAACTGCATCCTGTTGGCTGCATCAGGTAAAGGTGAGAGGTGCTGATTCCCGAGGCTATAGAGTCACATCTGGGCCCTGCCCGTGGTCCTGGTGTGCTGGAGTCCTCGGACAGGAACCACTAATCTCTATTCACTGGCTGTGCCCTTCCTGGCTTAGCCAGTCACCGGGTTAGTGACAGCAGTGCCAGAACTTCCCAGACAGGGAGCCCTCCCTGTGTCCATGAAGGTGGGACTTCCCTGGAAATACAGACTCAGCAGTGAGGGGGATTGAGCTCTGAGTTTGAGCGGGTAGAAACACTTACAGAGAAAGTAATTTTTCCTTGGTTTGGATACTAATCGTTATTACACCTAAATTGTACTCATATTAATATGGAAAAAGGTGACATTTTGGCTACTTTGATTTAGTAAGATGCTTGTTTCAGTGTTCTGCTTGTTCAGGGTGAATTAAAAATGTGATCTAATGCAGAATGTGTTTCTTCCACAGTCACCCTGGTTACTTTGGGAAAGTAGGCATGAGACACTATCACTTGAAAAGAAACCAGAAGTTCTGTCCCACTGTCAACTTGGACAAGCTGTGGACGCTGGTCAGCGAACAGACGAGGCTCAACTACGCCAAGAACGAGGCCGGACTGGCCCCGGTCATTGATGTTGTACGCTCGGTAAGTTCCTGCTCGGACTCAGTCCCAGCATTCCTGCTCTCCTGTGGGTGCCTGGGCTGGGCCTGTCCCACTGGGGAAATGCTGAACTGCAAATAAGCTCCAGTGCTGAGAGGTTCCCCAGGCCGTGAGTAGTTACAGAAGCACTTTGGCTGTTACATTTTTCCCTGTAAAGAACTTTTTCTGGTGCTGCTGTGTGTTTGTGGACAGCCACTGCCCTCCTCTGGGTAGGTGGTGAAAGATGGCGTGTTTGAAATGGTCCTGAAGGAACAAAACCGTGATGGAACGGGTCTCACACTGTCACCTGTCCACCCTCGAGACTAGAGTCACATCTCCACATGTTTGGTTGTCTTGGTGTGCTATAGTTCTCGGACAGAAACATCTGATCCATATTCACTGGCTGTGATGTCCTGTGTCTCAGCCAGCCACCGAATCAGGGACACTGCTCTGCCAGGTGCTGATGTTCTGCCTCCCCTGTTGGCCACTTAGGGCCCACTTCTCACCTCCAGTGACTACAGCAGCTGTTTTGTTAATTGTTTTCATGTCATGATTGTCCTTTTAATGTAATGAATTGACTGGATGAGGTGATGGTGATCATAGTTTTGTTTTTAACTGGTGTGTGCTAACAGGCCTGAATGTAGGAGCCTGCAAGCTGATTGCAAACACTGAACTTCTGTTTTAAATCTTTCTAGGGCTACTACAAAGTGCTGGGCAAGGGGAAGCTGCCCAAGCAGCCTGTCATTGTGAAAGCAAAGTTCTTCAGTAGGAGAGCAGAGGAGAAGATCAAAGAAGTTGGTGGTGCCTGTGTGCTTGTGGCATAAAAGCTTTTGCTTTATTCAAATTTTTTGAATAAACAATGCATAAAATGAGCTGATTTACAGAAGTTTGGGTTGTTGTGATTTTTCTTTCCTGGCTTGTCAAGACACAGTTCACACTTCAATCTTACCTGCATAATTTTTGATCAGTGGTTTGACTGCTTCTCACTTCAGTTTGAAGTTGCCTGACTACAGTGTTCAGTATCTGCCACGTGCAGATTCTTTATTGTTTTGTCTTTATAGGGTGGCAAAATTGAGTTCTGTATTTATGCTGCTCTTTTATTAGTGACCCTTTCTACAGCTGTCTGAAAAGAGACTTGATGTGCTTTTGATGGGGATTCTTGAATACTAAAATGATATCCAGGGGAAATCTGTGGGCATGGTGCCCTGGCCTTTGGGAGTGGAACAGCAAAGTGACAGTGGTGTACCAGTAGCTGTTAATTAACATTTGCAATCCCTGCTCTCCCCAGGCTGGGTATGCAATTCCTGCAGTTCCCACCTGTGGGACAGATTTGGTGCCAGCTGTCCTCAACCTTCCTTACAGCTGGCAAAGCAGTGGCACAGCTCTAGAACTGCTCTGTGTGAAGTTCTGATGTATTAGGTTTAAAATGACTACCTGAGATGATCCTTGCTTGCTTGTAACATCAAATTCGGACTTCTGGTGCCTGCATGGCTTGACCCTACAGGCCAAAGCAGGATTTAATGGTAAAAAATGAAATAACTAAAGCCAGTGAGCTGGTTCTCAAGTGTCAGACCAGAAGCCTATCAACACTCACTTATTTTATGCTCGCTGCTGAAGTTGATGCAAATTACCTTCTAGTATGTGTGATAGAATCCTCGTTAATCAACTTCTAACCTGGTGTTTGGCAACAATTAAATTTAGGGGGCTTTTAGGGTGAGGTTAATGTGCATTCCATTTATAAAATAGTTCATCTTAGCCAGTTGTACTGCTGCTTGTGAATAGCTATGACATAAATGTACAGTTTGTTCCAAAGTGCAGAGGAATTTGGGAACTGTCTCTCACTGGCTGCTGGCACTGCTGCTTGCTAACCTGTGATGCTGGGTGTGGCTCCATCCACCACTCTCTGGCCCCAGCTATCCAGCCAGTTCTTTATCCAGTGAGCAGTGCACCCCTCCAGGCCAGAAACTGGCCAGTTTCTCCAGGAGAATGTGGGGGAAGTCCAAGGCTGTGCTGCAGTGCAGGCAGACACAGCTGCAGCCGTTCCCCCAAGTGGTCACCTTGTCAGAGGAGGAGATGAGATTGGTCAGGCAGGACCTCCCTTCCATAAACCCACGCTGACTGGGTCTGATGCCCTGGTTCTTGCACAAGTGCCTCTTGAGGGTGCTCGAGATGATCTGCACCGTGACTTTCCCCAGCATCAAGGTCAGGCCTGTAATTCCCTGGGTTCTCTTTCTGGGCCTTGTAGCTCATCATATACTTCAGCCTTCTCCTCCAGCTGCCTGTCTACTACTTTGCATACCTGCCCCAGAAGAAAATTTTAAACACGTGTTTTTCACTCTTACCCTTCCTACCCAAAAAATTCTCAGTTTTGTACATTGATCAAAAGGCATAAATTGAAATTTACAGTAACCTGCTTCTGCTCATCCAGCCCCAGATTTGGCTTCTAAGGTGACAGAGCATTTCCCAGTATTGGGCTTTGTTTGCACTGATTCTCTGTGCATGGATGCTTTGGGCTGTGGTTTCTCTGTGTCAACAATGTGGTGGTTTAAGACCTCAACTTCCTACTGCAGACACGACATGTTTTTGTAGGTGCAACTTTGTCTTAGCAACAGGACCTGCAAGAAATGAAGAGATGAAGTGAGCTGAGAGGCTGCTGCTTCAGTGACATTTGCCTCTGATAGACAGATGGTTGATGAAGATGCACTGTAAAAAGTGAGCTCGTGTTACAGGCACTGATAAAATGTTAATTAAACCACAGGTACAGCTGGCACAGCTCATTTCCGAAGGGACCTCTGGTTTTGGAATTGGAATCTGAAGTTTTAGTGGCAGGTTTGAATTGATCTAAGTGATTTGTCAATCAAGTTGGTGGGTATCTACGTAGTTGAATGGGTTTTGGGAATGAAATAGCATGCAGACCTTAACACAGGGTCCATTTTTCTTCTAAAGTATTTTAAATACTGATGACTTCAGGATGCAGTGCTTTAAAAAGCTACTAGTTTTTAATTTCTGAGACATTCATAATTGTTTTGCATCGTGGAATAAATACCCAAACCCAGATCTGTTTACTAACCATTTCCACTGGAATCTACCAGAAGACAGAATCTCTCAGAATACATGGCCCTATGATTAGAGCTGCTGCTCTTCTGTGCTGAAGAAATCTGAAGATTCAATTACATCCTGCTGGTAGCGGGGCCACCATGCCAGGGCATTCAGCAGCTACATGGGACTCTGGTCTCCGGAGGTTGGATCAACTACAAGAGTGAGTCCAGAGGAAATGAGGCTTTTTATCCTCTGATACAACTTGCAGGAGTTGCCCTTTGCAGTCTGTATCTGATCAACATCTCTGACAATCTGAGAACTGAGGATGAGACATGACCTGCAAAGCTCTCAGCTGACCTTGGGGAGCTTAGGCTGGTGGGAGGAACACCAGGAAGCTCAGGTTTGGTCTATAATCTTATCTGTGATCATCTTGATAGCTAAAATTTGATTACAGCAAAGTGCATTTTCTTTAAAGAAGATTGTCAGAAAATGCTGTACATTTTTCAAGGCAGCTTTCTAACATGCCTTGCTGAAATAATTGATGTATGGGTATTATTTTCTTTACCCGAAAACTGTAAAATATTTGAATTAAATTGTAAAAGCAGTCAGAGAATCTCATAATTTTAATTGCACAGTTTCAGTGCTTCTAGCAGGAAATGTACAGCGTGTGACAATTCAGCTTTGTAAGTAGATTGATAGAACAGATTAGTTCAGTTTTCACAGAAGTTGCAAGTACTAGAGAGATAGTGGGATCGTGGTTTGTAAACCCTAAACCACGCTTTCTGGCACAGCAATCTGCAAAGATACTCTCCTCTGTAAAGCAGGTATGTGATTTTCAGCTGCAAGGAACTTCTTTTTTTCGCAGGGGCTACGTGAATGTTGTTTATTTGATCGTGTATCCCGTGTTGTCCTCTGGTTTGCGCTCGAGCGATCAAATGTTCTGTGAAGTGCCGGGCTTGTCATGAGCCATTTTGTGACTCTTCGTGTTTTTGGGGCCAGCCTTCAGCCAGCAGGAATGGAGACTCTGGATCTGTTGAGGAATTGTTTGGTGTGCAAATGGGAGCTGCGGAGGAGGGAGCCCAGAATGCTCCCCTGCCTCCATTCCTTCTGTAAGGACTGCCTTCCGGATTTGATTCAAGGATACAGCCGTATTCCCACTGAGTATGAAGTTCTCTATGAAGGTAACTAAAAATCTCTGGTTTATGCTCTTTGCAATACAGTATTATAAAAAGAGATGGACTTGGAAGTACATTTTGAGGTACATTCTTCCACAGCACTACTTTAAATTGAGGAACTGGGAGAGTAGAGGTTTGTGCGAGCAGAGTGGATTGGGAACAAGCCACCTTCATTACGTTTTTCATCCAACAGCAGTGCTTTGAAGAGAAAGGACACAGTCAGGCAACATTTTAACATTTTTTTCAGAATGGGCTGAATGTTTCACTTACCAAGTTGACATTATGAATATTTGATTTTCTTAGCTTAATAAATGAGTAAGTGCTACATGACAGCTTCCAGAACAAAATTTTTTTTGCAATCTTTTTGATATGCTGGACCTTCCTATGGCTGTGGTGATAGTTTTATTTTTCCTTCACCCCCTCCTTCAGTGCCTCCTCAACAGCAACACAAAAACACCCAGTTCTTTGTTTCCAACAGAGGCAATAATAATTATTACTACATATGTGAATTCTGGTGCACTGAAACTCTTATCTCGCTGTGTTGTATCTCTCTACCTTAACCCTTGTGGCTGTAACTCACCCTAACAAGCTGAGTAAAGTACTGAGGGTAAGAAGCATTTTTTTGGCTGTGTCTTTTGAAATCTTGGAGTTATTTGTACAGTTTTCAGTTGTGATGTTAATAGAAAATGTGTAATTATTTTTTTTAATAAAACCTAGATGACAGAATATAGTAATTTTAACTGAATGAGTCTTAATTGCTGTGGGGAAACATTCCAGACTCATTAATAATTTATTAGAAGAGCAAAGGCATGTAGATAACTTGTATTTTCACAGGCTTTGAACCTTAGTTGAGTAGGAGGCATCATTTATTATCTCTTCTGTAGCAGATTTTAGAAACGTGTAGGAAGAGAAGATACCTTCCCTGAGGTGAGGGTGATCAGAATTGATGAGGTGACATAAACTAGACTAGTTCAGGTTTGAGAACAAATGGAGTCAGTGTTAAGAGGTCACTGTTGGAAGGCTGGCAAAACACAAAAGCTAAAGGAAAAGGCAAAGAAAAAGGCTATTCATGTGTAGGGTACAGACAGAAAAAGATATGAAGGTAGGAGAGAACAAGGCATCATTGCAGGTAATGTCTCCTTAAAATTTTAATGCTTGGTCATAGTAGGCCTGAAGTCTGAGGGACCTCTCTGTAATCAAATACTATTGAAAAAAGCACTCCATTACTTTTTATGTATCCTCTTTTGACATCTCAGCCATTCCTCTCCTCATTCTTTCTGTTTACCAAGTAGAAAAGTGAATTTCTACCACTTGCTGATCTTGGATGAAGGGCAGCTACAGGTTCTCATGAGTTAAAATATTAGATATTTCTTCAAGGTGGATCAGGAACTGTTTGTCTGTAGCAAAATGGAATAAATACTAGTTTATTTCTGTATTCCTGAAGTTTCTCTGTTTACTTCTTCATTCTTGTGTAGATGGGGAACTTCTGTGGGAAAGAGCAAGAAATAATAGAGAATATATTATTATATATAGTGGAGAATAATAATAGAGAAAATAAATAATGAGCAGTGATGACTCAGTAAATGAAGTGAGACACCAGGTGCAGAGACTCAGTTAATCTGTGAGCAAGGAAAGCAGCAAAACCAAAACATCTGTGTCTCTTAATTAAGCCAATGACTGAAATTGCAGCCACCATTGGTCAAGCAGGATAAATTTTTGAACTCTTCTGATGGCATGATATTAAATTTTGCTTCTCTTTTCTGCAGTGATTGCTGAATTATGGGCAGTATAATTCCAGTTTGCAGTGTAATTTTTAAGTTTGATCATAGGTAGGTGTCAGTGATAGTGCAAGTGCCAAACCATTATAGCAGAGTAAATGTAAAATATTGCCTGTAAGAAAATGTGTTCTTTACTATGAACTCCTCAAGCAAAATGTAAGGATGGAAAAAATGAAGGTATTTGTAAGTGAAGTCATTCTGACATTTGTCACAAAAAGACTATTTGAATGTGTAGGTTTCTGTATGCTTTACTAGAAGTAGGACTCTGCTAACATAAAACTCTTTTCTAGTTTGTTGTTTTGTATTGGTTTGCTGAGAAGCTGGAGGTAAATGATCCTGACATTTGATGGGGGTTGGTGTTGGAACTTTTATTCCTGTGTGTTTAAGATGACTCATGAAAAAATTCCTTGAGGTAGCAGCCAGAGCTCCTATGGAAAAGCTGCCCAGCCATCAGAATTTATCTATAGCTGTGAGAACTGAGAGCTTAGGAATAATTTAAGTGGAAAAAGGAACCTATCTTTGTGACTTTGTCTCTTACATATGCTTTTTCTATGAAGGGAACTTTAAGCTTCTCAGTCTTTCTATTCTGTTTCTTTTTTTTTTCTTTTCCTTTTTTGCAGGCCAGTGTCGCTTTCCTATTTATATTCCTTGTCTTCCTGTAACAGAGAATCCACATTCTCCTCCTCTGCAGATCTGCATGTTATGTGTTTCCAGTTTGTTTAGTGCATGGGAAAGAACAATTCTTCCATCTCTTGAGATGAAAATGTCTCATTTGAGGACTTTCCCAGGCTCCTACCCGTGTGAGTTGCCACTCACGGTACAATGTTGGTTCTTGCACCTTTGGGTCTTTCTCATGAAGTTCTAAATACATTCAAAACCAGATTCATCCAGGTTCCTGTGTTTATCCCTCCTCCCTGGACTGGAGGTGGATGCCCAAATAAATTACCCCACATCTGCAAATCTTCCTCTCTCTAAGATGTTCAAAGATACAAATTGATTTAGTCAAAGTAAAAGTAGTCAAATGGACTTTTACTTCCAAAACCAGTGGAAGTGCATTGCTGGGAAAAGTTCATGTTTTTGCAAGACTGTCTCTGCTAAAGGGTTTGTTGGTTTGGTTTTTTTTCCCTTAAACAAAAGAAAAATCACAGGTAATTGGTGCTCAGTCACAGTTAGGACCTCTGAGAACCAGGCACATCAGAAAAGAGGCGCTGAAACATCTTGCAGATTTCTGCTAACTGATATAACCCCTGGAATTCTTAACATTTTGTGACCAAATTGTGTATTTAGCCTAACCTGTAAAGTAAAATGTTATTAGTAGTTGCTCAGCTTTGTAAATTGTTTTGTGAAGTGGTGGATTTAGTTGTATTATGTTTTCATATTAAACTTGTGTGTTGAGCTATTACTTTTTGCAATTTAATTTAATTTTTTTTCCCCTTTTGTATTTCTCTGGCTTGGATAACAAAAATCCTGGAAAATTGTGGCATAATTTCTACCTATTTTCTATGTTTCGTGGTACCTATGTACCTATGGACAAAAGCTGTCCATACTTGTGTTGTGTTAACTTAATGCCAAGAAATGTAACAGGGTTATGTGTGAGAGAAATGCAAACAGATTGGATAAAGAGAACAAATGTAGCTTCAACTATTGACAGATGTCCACTTACTGCATTTTATTATTTCCTGCTGAAAAGAGAGTTTTCTTTAGCTTGTATGGTAGATTATATATATATATATATATTTAACAGTGGATTCTTAATTGTGAACACTTTTTAGTCAGGCACACCCAAAAGCCAGCAAGGTGTTGGTCAGAGAGATCTTCAGGGGGGTTTATTTCAGGAGAAGGATTGAGCTCTAGGACTGCTTTGGCTCTAGGCTCATTTTCAGACTGAAGTTTTGGCACAAAAAGCGTGGAGCACTGGTTTCAGGAGACTGCAGGTGTCAGCACACAGTGCCTTAGCTTGTGTTCAGCCTCTACTTAAATAGTAAAAGATAAACAGACAAAAAAAACATCTACAGAGTTCTCTAAACCACAATTTAGTTTTCAGTGGAGCAGTTCAGCTGCCTTGGTAGAGCTGTGGTATCTCCAGGGTACCAAATAAACTTGTTTTGATGCATTCATTTAAGGCAGATGATGCAATGCTGTCATCTATTAATTCTGAAGGAGAGCACCCTTTTGCTTTAATTAGAGCCACTTAGAACCAAGCACATGTTTTACCTCTAAAAAGGGAAGTAAAAAGATTATTCTGAAGAGAGAAACTGTTCATAATCTATATATTTAGTCAACCTAAAATGGGTTTAAAGTCAGTCAACCCTTTGCACTGCTGCACTCAGCCCTTTGTGCTGCTTGGCTGCCAGATCCAAAAGGCAAGTGAAACAATGAGGGCTTTAGTTATATAAACATGAAACTGCAGAGTGGGAGGTTGTCTTCAGAGCTGTTTCCTATAAGCTATAATTGGGTCTTCAAGGAAATGTAAATTATGCCTGCAGCTTGAGCTGTAGTTAATGCTCTCTGAGAATAATTATTCTGATGGTTGTTGGAGGAAAAAGAGCAGAGGAATAGGTGCAACATGTGGCCAGCAAGTACAAGTGTGGTGTGTGTAGTACCTCCACTGTTTGTTTCTTCATCCTAATCGATTCTCTTGATAATAATTAGTAAATTATCTGCATTGATTTATTTCTGAGGAAGTCAGCTTGAGGGTTCTTTCTATTTAGCCCTGACCAGACTGGAAGACCTTGAAACAAAACTATGAGCTGTGACTTCTCATGTACTTGGTGTCCATGGGTGGTGGAGATGTTACAGTTGGCACTTCAGAGATGACTTCTGTAAATGATCCCTAGCTCTGTCACTTAGAAATTAGATTGCTGTAGTATAGGTGGAGTAAAAACCTTGAAACCTCTCAGAAATTCTAGTTCTTTCTTTATTTGTACTTCTACAAGGGGATGCTCTGTTCTTATTGCTGGGACCAATGCAGGATGGCAGCTTCTATTAACAGAGAAAGCACTGTGGGATGTGAGAGATCCGACCTGTGGAGAGCTGGGGCTTGAACAGGATGAGGCAGAACCTTGTTGTTTTCCTGAAAGCTGGTTTTGGATACCCCAAATGTGAAGTTGGAGTGTCAGACTGGGCATCTCTGTCTGACTAATGGATTCACTGCCTCTGAAATTCCATTTTTCCCTAACCCTGTCGAGTTACTCTGGCTGGGAGTGTGAGAGTGGAAATAAACGTGGT